GTCCTCCCCCTCGTCCTCCCCCCTCCTGGTCCTTAAGAAAACATCAACTTAGTTTCAATAGTGTATTGAATGGTGTATTGAAAAAATATTGAAAGTATAGCAGAAGGGGCCACGTTTTTCTCCTCCTCCCTGAAAACAGCAATTTACTTTCAATAGTGTATTCTACAAATTTTGTAGCATAAACGGGGGTTTTAAAAAAAGAGAGAGAATTAACCAAGGGAAATGTTTTTAGCCATTAGATTTTTCTTATGAAACGTCAGCACTTTGCACATAAATCTGTGGAGGTGAAATGTATTAGTTTTCAGAAGAATAAGGTCAGTCCCTTCTGTTCATTTAAAGCCAGTTCTATCGGAGCTTGCAAAATAAAACTGGAAACCGTTTCTAAGCTGTTGGTTTTAATATCAAAATATTCATGCTGGATGATAAAGAAGAACCAACATATTCTGTGGGTTCTTTATTTCCTTGAGCCATTTCTTTGATGTCTGGGAGTAACCTGTGCTCTATAAATTTGGACTACCTTCATCATACATTCCAGGATTCGTTAAATGTATTGCATTGTCTATAAAAAGCAGAAATTTCAACCCAAGGCCGCAGGCTCATACACATAGTCCTTGGCTTATAACCACAATGGAGCTCAAAATGTCTGCTGCTAAGCGAGGCAGTTCTTAAGTGAGTTGTACCTCATTTTACGACCTTTTTCTCACAGCTGTTAAATGCGTCTCTGCAATTGTTAAGTGTATCATACAGTTGTTAAGCAAATCTGGCTCCCTCCTTTGGCTTTGCTTGTCCAAAGCTACCTGGATAGGCTACAAATTGTGATCGTATAATCCCAGGGTACAGCAACCAGATGCTGCAGATGTTCATAAGTGTGAAACCATTCATAAGTCCCTTTTTCAGTGCTGCTGTACCTTTGAATGGTCACTACATGAATGGTCAAGGACTACCTGTGGTTGCATTTTTGTCAGATCCCGATATCTCCACTTAATGTGACAGAACATGGTGAAACAAAATGGCTCCAGATTGTCAAACGGGTGTGATAAGGCTGTATTCTCTCTCCCCTTATTTATTCAAACCCATGTGCTGAATCTTTATATATGTATATAAAAGCGAAATACCACTTGCGCATCATCACGAAATCTCCTGTAAACCTACAAACTTGAAATTTGGCACGCATGTTCCTCTTGGCTTCTAGGTGATCGCTAAGAAAGAATTATTCGAAATGACCATCAGATCATTAGTATTTCTTATATTATTATTAACACGCTCTGATGTTATAGAGTTAAGACGTTCTACTCCCTCTCCCCACCTGAAAAGAATTCTGTTCCAACTGCCACATGGGCTTGGCCAGCATGTGACTCATCTAGTCTGCAGGCTGGGAGTTTGGACATTCTTCTCCCCCTCCCGACCTGAAAAATGCTCTGATGCTAAGGAGTTAAGACAGAGGGAGAGAAGGAGATAAGATAGGAGAGGGTTCTGTGGAGCACGCCTGAGGGAGAGAAGGGGAGAGGAGAGGCCGATCTCACTGCTCATTAATTTTCAAGCTGTAAGTGTTGATTTATCAAGCCCGATCACACAGTTTCGTAGTGGAGCATGGGTATCCAGCCTAGCATATATTAAACGGAAGCTGGACTGGAAGAAGATGGTTTGGTATTAAAAACGTGGGAAAGAAACATCAATAATTCTGCTCACTGCTGATGGTTTTGCTTTGATAAAACTAAAAAGGCCTGCAAACAATACAAGTCCTACTTCCCTTTCCATGGATGCAACACAAAAGGCACAGCTGCTGTTGTTTGCCAACTCTTAATCTCTCTTGCCGATGACTTTGCCCATATTATTAATATTATTTAATCTACAGGGCGGGGCATAACCTTTTCCTAGGGGGGTCACAGCAACACTTGTAATAACAACACAAATAATTCATACACCATTCGAAAGCCCATCACTTTCATTGCATGCACTTCATTATGATGAAACAAGCACACAAAATAATAGAAAAGGAAAATTACTGTCCTTTTTTG